AACAAGTGCATTGCTACTAGTAACAAGTGCCTTGCTAGTAGTAACAATAAGCTATTAGAAACAAGTGCATTGCTACTAGTAACAAGTGCCTTACTAGTAGTAACAAGAAGCTATTAGAAACAAGTGCTCGCTGATTCAGAGGCCCTGACCGACACCCTGAGCTTGACACACCCAACGTTGCTTCCTGAGCTTGACACACCCAACATAGAAACAAAGGCAATCTAATAGCGATGGCCTGCAACCTTGCCCATTTTCGTTGTAGAAGTTTCTTCAGGTTGGTCCAGTCCCGTGGTATTCCTGTGGCCCTCGAGGGAAAGGTCGGGCAAATTGCAAGCTCACATTCCTTGTGAAAGGCAAGACAAAGGGACGTGACAAAGAGAGCAAAGAGAGCTGGACGTGACCTTGGCGTGTTGGTCCTTTTCTTTCCTTTTTGGATCAAGGTACACCCGAATGGCCATGGACGGAGTGTCGAAGGAGGAAGGTGATGGGGGAGGACTCGAAGGCCTTTCCAAAGAGAAAGATGAGAGCTTTGACAGACCTCCCCGTGCCAAGCTGAGCCCTCTCCAGCGAACTCGCACGCGAATGCGGACCGCGCATTTGGAGAAAGAAGTCGATAGGGCAGAGGAAGCTTCTGATGTGCCCAGTCGGCCGGCATCAATGCGGGGGCTCACAAGTGCTGTCACTGCTGTCAACCAGGCAGCGAGATTGCAACGTAGAAGACCTCCTGCATTTAGAAAAGGTTCCATGAGTCTGATGGACAGAGCAGAAGAGAGTAAATCAGAGGCAGATGAAGTGAAAGCTAAAAGTCCAAGAAGGGAATCAAAGCCTCGGGACACCTTCAGGCGGCAAGCTCGGAGGTCCATTTCAACACTCGGTGCTATCCTCCCTGATGAACAGGAACTGGAGGAGACGCAAGAGGTTGGGGGTGGAATCGGTCGTTTGAAGCTGCTCACGTCTGCAGTTGCATCATTCCAATCCTCGAAGAGTTTCAACGAAGCTAAGGTTGGGGAGGTTGTAGTTGGAGATCCCAACGAGGTCATTCTGCCAGCAGACGATGACAGTGACGATGAAGAGAATGAAGAGGTGGAAAGAGACTTTGTTTCAGCTTTGCAAAGGATTCGGGATAGTGGCAGGCTCTCAATTCATGAATTTCGAGTTTTTGAAAAGGAACTGAGGATGCAGACACTCTTCCAGGATGAACTGGACATGGTGATCCTGGCTGGTCTTGACACTTCCAAGTATCTTGAGGTGAAATCTGAAGAGATTCTTTGGAGCCGCTTCTCCGAGCTCTACTCCGGTATCTTGTCAGTTGAGACACCGCTTTGCATCATAGTAAGCGGAAGGGTAAGTGTTGCGAAGCCTGGACTGCCCGAAGGAGATGCTGTGAGCAAAGGAAGCATCATCAGTGCAGCTGACCCGGAAGTTTTGGGTCTTGTTACCCTTGAGCCGTGCAAACTCCTTTACAAAGATCTCACCCAAGTGCAAGAAGATATGGAGCGCGCAAGAGAAGTTCACAAGAGGGTGGACCACGCTTTGCGCAGGCGGCGGCCTCCTAGCACCTGGTCTGAGGATCTTATCGATGATCTCTTGCTGTCAATTAAGTTCTTGCCTTTCTTCGAGGATTTTGATGCAAAGACATTGCGCAGTTTGGCACGCAACCTACGCTTCCGCAGCTTTACACAAGGTGAGAGCTTGCCTCCCACTCTACCGACAGATGTGTCCTTGGCAAGCCAAGAGTGCCAACTTGTGCTTTTTTGGTTAGGAAAGGCCGGCAAATACAAGCGAGTTCAATCTACCAAGGAGGAGCTCCTATCTGCGCAGTTGGAAGAAATGATGGCCTTGACAGAGTTTGGAGGTCGCAAAGGCAACAAAAGTGTGATAGCCTCTCCGAATGGCAAGGATGGCAAGGAAGCAGACATGCCTGAGCTGGACGATGAGATATGCGAGAAAGATGATAAGGTCTACTTGAAACGTATCGGAAATCTCCATCTTGGTGCAGTGCTTGGCCAGCGCAATTTGGTTGATCCTGGAGGCCCAGACACTGGAGAGCCACTTATTCGCTGCGAAGGGCCTTGTGAGGTTCTTTGTCTATCGCGGTCAGACTTTTTGCATTGCCTGAAGGAGTGGTTGTTTCGGACTGTGTCTTCGAGATTTCCTGCCTTCTTCAGCAAGGGGCCCTGCTGCCTGCTCCTTTTTGTGTTCGGGTCTTTGCCAGTGCTTCTGCCTTAGCCTAATCTATTCGAACATATAGCAGTTGTGGAATGAAGCTGGCATGGCCACTTAAACGTCCTAGACCCCGCAACTTTTGCTCAACTTTCTGAAAAAGTCAACGGCTTCGAAGCAACTTCAAAAGAAGTAGAATCAACCGATTGCCCTCCGTGCCTTCATCCATCCATCAATCACCCACTCTCTCACCTTGGAGGCTGGCAACTTGCAAGTGCCAGCTTCTGAAGATCAGGGTTGCATCATTACATCATTGCTTTCTTTTTCTTTCCGGGTTCCGGATAAAGGTTCTGGAAGGTTCCGGAAGGTATACTTCCAGTGTCAGGCCCGGCCACATTGCGCAGCTACGCAAATGCTACAGGTTTACTCCAGATGTTGGAAGAGCAAGGTTTCAGCGGAAACCAGTGGGTGTTTATGGAAGGTTCCAATCAGGAGGCTTCAAAGTTCCATTTGGAAGTGTAGAGTCAGAGTTGTAGATGCTCTAGAACATTTTCTGGATCCCACCGGCAGTTGACCCAGGATATGCAGTGTTTGAGAAGCCAAATCAACCTGTTGAGCACCCCACTGGTCCCAATAACCGTCGGAGCTTCTTCTCCCATTTCTCCCAACACTCTGTCCACCCTTTGCCATACTAAGCATTAGGAGAGGGAAATTGTTTTCGTCAACACCTGAAAGTAGGGCAAGTAGGTCTAGCAGGCACGGTTTAGGAACACGGCTCGGAGCTAGCAATGTTTGGCATTCGTGTGGCACACATGCTCTCGCGCATTCGCCAGGAGCCACAGGTGGAGCGCATGCGGGTGGTACATGCCTTGCGAAATGTGCCTGCCTCGCGCCCAGGTGAGCCGCACCACCGATCTCAGGAACAACTCGCACTCTTGGCAAAGCTTGTGAGGAATACACCAGAGCTCAAGGCTTTTGAGCAAGAGGAGTTGATGCAAGTGCTTGGCGCGGCCACGTACATCAATGCAGTTCCTGGCCATGTCCTGTGTCATCAGGGTGAGATTGGTGATCGTTTCTTTGCGATTATCGAAGGGATGGTGAGCATCCATGTTCGACCAAAGGTGGAGGTGGAGTCAACACTTGCATCGGCTGCTGAGAAGAAGGGCGGTGGTGCCGGGTTGATCAAAGCGATGCTAGCTGCCCTCTCCCACCAAAAAGCAGAGGCTTGGACTTTCCTGTTTGACAACTACTCGTCCAGATTTGCCTGTTTTTGGCAGTCTGGTAGTCTTCAGATTTGCAAGTTTAAAAGTGTCCTCTTGGACTCTAGCTTATATAGTTCAACTAGTTTGGCTTGCACTGGAATTGAAGCTTAATCTTACTCAATTCTGATTTCTCGATTTTGCTGGCACAGAGGCAGCGCGACCTTACTTGAGTTCAACCAGGTCTTAAGTTGACCTACTAGGTTGGAGGCCATCGCTCTTATGCCACTGCTTCTCCCTGTGAGGCAAAGAAGGAGCAGAGCTTGTTGCCTCCTGAAATCCCTCGAACAAGCAGCTCTATGAGATCTGAGGCTTCTGACGTCAGTCTGGGAGACAGCATGAGTTTGAGCCCAATGATGTCGCCAACCTCATCTTTAAAGCCTGAGCGACGGCCATCAGGTGCAGCAAGGCGAAAGGCAGTGCGTGTCTCTTTCTTTGGTGGCGATTCCCAAGAGTTGGCTCCACAGACACCTGACAATAAACCAGAGATAATGTCTGACGAATCCGACATTCAGGAGGCAGATGAAAGTAGAGAAAGCATTGGTGAAAGGGAGACGCTTTCAGTTCCGTTGCGGACCACAGATGATACGAGGCGGAAAAGCTTCCGAGAGCGTCTCCAGGGAGGCCTATTTTGGACTGGCATTCGAAAGCGCCTAGCAGCCACTCAGGCCGATGAACCGGCGAGCCTTGGCAAGATGGTGAATCGCATGGGTCCTGGAGCAGCATTTGGAGCCAGGACTTTGCTGAAGAAGGAAGCTCGTACAGCTTCAGTCCAAACTGTGGAGCCGACGAAGTTGCTGGTTGTCACTCGAGAGGACTATGTTGGACTTCTGGGTTCTATGGGAGAGGCACGCGCACGGGAAGCTGCAGAGTTCCTGTGTCGCTATGTCCTGATGGTAGAAACACGTGGTGGCCGTGCTTCAGACAACTTGCACCCAGCGCTTCGACAGCGCATGTCCCGCACTTCGAAATCAATGACAAGCCACAGTTTAGACCGTGGGACTGTGCTTCTCACTCATGGCACTGAGACTTCAAGCACCATTCACATCTTGCGGAAAGGTGTGTTGGCTTATTGCTATCCTTCACAACAAGGCAGGCCGCTCCCAAAGAACTGGCATCGGAGCAAAATAGGCTCCATGAATCCTTCCCAGGTTGTGAGTACTCCAGGTGAAGTGGTTGGAGCATACAATGCCTTATTGGGTTGGAAGGAGCCTGCCACAGTTCGGGTGGAGAGTGCCCACTGTGAAGTTTATCGACTGCCTTGGACGGAACTTCAGCGAGTTCTCACGAACCGGGTCGTGACTCTCATGCGCGACAAGCTGCAGCAGGGCCATGGCTTGCGTTCCCAAGTTGCAGCAAATCAAAGTCCAAAAGACATGTTGAATGCAACTGCCAATTTGAAACTTGAAGGTGCTGTGCCAAGCAAGGAGCAACAAGCGGTGAAAGACGCACTTGAAAATGCATTGGACACTGCATGTTCTTTCGGCGGATCAGCCTCCCATCGCAAGCGACATGCCGAGAAGGGAACAAGATCGGAAAGGGTTGACGACGCAGCGGCAGAGTCGGAGTTTGAGGATGCTGTGGCGGCTGCCATTTTGAAACTCGAAGATGCAACCAAAAAGGCCGACTTGTGGGAGTCCTTGCGAACAGGGGAGGCTGAAGTTTCCATAGCTTCGAGCCTCCCGCCTCCCATCACCAGTGCAGCCCATGTACGTGCACGCTTCTTCAAAGTTTTGAAAGAGGATCCGGGGCTTCTGAGAATGGAGCATTTCATGGCTCAGGCAGCTTTGGACCCTGACAAGGCGCATCTCAGTGCTTGGATCAAAAAGTATGCTACAAGCGACCATCTCCGAAAGCATTCTGACCTGCAAACCTTGCAGCTCCTTTTAAGAAGGCAGCTGAAGAACCCACAGCTTGCTGCCCGCCTCCCATTGTGACTTTTGTAGCCATGAAAGGCAATGACATTCATTCAGTTCAAATTCATTCTTCAACTTTTTAATGCTGCTAGCAGCCGTTTCACTGCCTCACACTGAAGGTGTTGAGACTTTTAAGGCAGGAGCCTCCGACTGCCTGTCTTCCAAGACAGCTCTCTCGAGGTGTCAAAATTATGGTGCCGACTCAGGCTACTCTGTCAAATGATTTACGGAATGCTTTCTTTGATGTCTTGCTTTTTTGCTTGAACTACACCTTTACTTTGCCCCTCATGACTGCTGCTGCTGCTGCTGCTGCTGCTACAAACGCAAAAGCTATTGCTACCGCTACAAGCACCACTAAAAAGAATCCTTTCCTTCCCGCATAATCACTGTACACGCCAAAGAGGCACCAATGGCGCTCATACCACTGATGTCCATCACCACTGCGCTTCGCAGGATGTGCTTTGCCGAGCCCGAACTGGCAGCGGAAAGACTTTGTGCTATGCAATTCCACTGGTGACGCACTCAATTAGGTTTAGAACGCTAGTAGGTTGGAGGCCGTCTCTATTAGGTTGGAGGCCACCGCTATTAGTCACTGAAAAACATGGTAATGTTTTTTCTTGTTCTTCTAACAAATCACAACCTGAGACAGTGAACCTTGGCATCACTCAGGTTCAGCGTTTGCTGCAAACGGAGCAGTCTAAAGGTGCCAAGAAGATGCAAGAAGAATGAAGAGAACACATGAAGCAGATGTTGGATGTTGGAGTTTCTTCAATACAAGTGCTTGTGGCATGCGTTAGCTTCAGCACTTTGTGCAGGAGTTGCAACACCTCTAAGTGGTCTCGTCCTGGTCCCAACCAAGGAGATTCCCAGAAGATTGCAGACGCTGCAGTATCAAAGTTTTTGAATATCCTTGAGCTGCACTCTTGCCAGTGTTTGCGTTGATCTTGTTTTGCTTTTCTTGTCGCCGCCGCTGTCGGTCGTTGTTGTTGCTGTGGTGGCGCTGGTGCTGGTGCTGGTGCTGTTGCTGCTGGTGGTAGCGGCGGCGGTGGTGTTGGGCGCGCAACATCATAGTAACACTTAGGAAGCCCGATTGTGATCTTGAAGACTTTTTGTCTGGTTTGTTCTTGATGTTTGCCCGCTAGAGACACAGCTGCAAAGGCTTCAGTTTGTGTAAGACGTTGGATCTTGCCAGAATATGTCCCTGAGTTCAGAGTTGCAATCGTCCCCATTCTATTGCCCTCCAAGTGGACTTCAGTTTGAGTGGGCCTATCCTATTCATATTCTATGCAGTTTGGCGTTGAGCCCTGAAATTTTGTGCTCGTACGACCTCTCCTGCCCCATTGTATTCGCTTCATTCTGGTTCTTGTTGCTGTTTGGTTCTTCTTGCATCCCTTTTATTTCTCCTGTCACTCAACCTTTTTGGTTTTGATCAAACCGATACAGACGGACAATCTGTCCACTCGTTTCACTCACTAGTATCCCGTGCGTTTGTGACTAATGACTAATGCAGGTGTCAAGTTTCTCAGCTTGCGTGTTTTGGGACCTGCTTGAAACCCACCACTGCTGAGAAGATGACAAGCCTTCTGAGAATCTGGCGTGGCCGTTGCATGCACATGAATGTTGCTTGGGTTTGACTTTTGCATCTTTTTGCTTATTTGTCCAGGAGCTCATTGCCCAAGTGCATGGTGTCATGACATCCTTGCCTCCCAGCTGCAGTTAGGGTGCATGGCCAAAGTTGCCGAAGTCAGTTTGACTTCTCGACCTGATTAATTCCCAACCAGTAGCGTCCTTGCTCCTAGTAGTATGGCCAGGAGCCCCTAGTAGCGTCCTTTGTTCATGTCATACATTGAGCCATGTGTCATGTCGTGGCGTTTGTTTTACACGAAATGGCACGAAAGGGGACACTTACATGGCTGAAGGAGGTGAGCCCTCATGCTGCCATGTAAGATGACAAAGTAGCAGAGCTACTGTCGCCATAGTGGGTTGACTGGTTGGGAGCTCCAGACTGGGCTTTGCGGCGACTGCGCTTTGCACATTTCTTTCAGAATTAGCGACTGCAGAACAACCTGCTACATCGGAGTCCGTTGCAACTGTCTGCCAGATGATTTGGCCTGGCTTGTGACCAGCTGAACCGGCTGTGCGTACTCCGGGTTGAAATTATGATTGTGGAGAAGGAAGGAAAAGCGTGGTCGCGCAGACAGTTGCAGCCCCTAGCCTAGCGCCATGTTGGGATCAGAGCAACTCCAGCAAATATATAGTGTATCTGATGAGGGCACACAGTTTGCATGGTAGCAGGCGCGTACAAGATGTCGTGTGATGGCAGTGTTGTGGTGTCAGTAGGTACTTGAGCTACGCGAACACAGTTTTGCCTTCCTACACCTGTGGCTTTGCGGGCTGACGAGCAAGAGGGGAGGACTATGGCCAGTTGCTGATAGATTCCAGCCTTAGCCCAAGCCTTGAACGTCAAGCAGGGTATTGGAGAAAATCGTTGCCAAGGTCAGGCACGAGCAAAAACACATTATGGCTAAGGATCTGTGTAGACTTTGGGCATGCTCGCTGTGTTTGTAGCTGGAGGAAATGAGCTTCTTGCCAGCTATTTGCCAGAGCATGAGAAGTGCAAGTTGGTGGAGGAGTCGGAGATCTCAGCGTCGAAGTCATTGTTAAGGAAGAACAGGTCACTGACCTCAAGCGCCGCAAGCGCCAGGAAGGTGTCCGCTCCGGAAAGGATCCCAAGTTTGGAGTGTCCGACGAGCGAACAACTGACCAATTTGGCGATGGAGATCAGTCTTGGCACAAGAAGCTATTAGGAACAAGTGCATCGCTTCTAGTAACAAGTGCCTTACTAGTAGTAACAAGAAGCTACTAGTAACAAGAAGCTAGAACCTTTCGGTTGTAGCCCAAGACAAGACAAGAGTTGCCTAGATAATCTAGATAAAGTTGTACCTCGGCAGCGCTGGGCTACTGTGATTTGCAACACTGGCCCGATGCTGGAAGTCTTGATTGTGGCTGTTCTGTTGTGGCTGTCTCTGTTCAAAAGCCAGGGCAACCCTTGAGCCCAGTTTGGGTGCCATGCCAAACAGCATCCTAGTAGCGATGGCCTCCACCTAATAGCGATGGCCTCCACCCTGTTGTTGTTTCGTGTTACTAGTAGCTTCTTGTTCCTAGTAGCGATGCCAGGAGCCCCAGTAGCTTCCTGCTCCTTTCCAGTTCGCATCATTAGACCTCTCTCCCAGGTTGACTTTCTGCTTCGATGTCATCACTGTTGACACCTTGCTATCGGGTGTGGGGCTCTCAATGGCCTAGGAGTCGCTGAGAAGCTAGCTAATGGCCCGGGACATTTTTGGAGAAGCTTCTTCAGGAGAAGTACACAAAAGCAGAAATGCCAGTGGTGTGTTGCTGGCACTATTGGGTGTCAAGCAAGTGTGGCTTAAGGCATCTTAAGGCCAAAGACACAAGTCTGCGAATGGTAGCAAGGGGTAGCATGTGGCCTCAACGTAGGGCCATCAAAAACCTTCCGGAAGGCTCAGTTTTGGGATTGAATGCCCCTTTGGTACTGTGAACTTCTATTTCCTCTTTTGTGTTGTTCTTATATTCTATTTCTCCGTGCCAGGTTGGTGACAACTCCATCCTCTTTGCTAGCCTTGGTGAAGCAGCGCCAGGTGACAGTCGAACGGTTTGAAGCGAGGAAGTGCTGAAGCGAACATCACAGGATGCAGTTCGGCAGTTTGGGCGTGCAAGTTTTGGAGGGATAAGTTGAGTAAGGTGAACTAGAACACGTATAAGACTGTAAGACACTGAAATCTCTAAACGTTGAACCAGTGTGGCTGCGCAAGCATTGATTGTGAGATCACTTGTACGTTTCAGCATAATTTTTGGTCCTCAACGTTGCAGTTGATCTCGCACAACAGCTTTTGTCTGGTTGTGCTGGAGGCCAAAGGCACCATGAGACCTTTGGCTGAGTACGCTCGACAGTTTTCATGTCATTGTGCGCATTCATCCAACTACTAGTAGCTTCTTGTTCCTAGTAGTAAAGCCAGGAGCCCCTAGTAGCGTCCTTGCTCCTAGTAGCGATGCCAGAGCTTCTTGTTCCTACTCCAAATCTTTCTCCAATGGCAGAACGTTGAAGATCTTGATCCTGGATGAAGCAGACTTGATGTTCTCCTTTGGCTACGAAGAGGATGCCCTTTGCCCGAACTTGTTTCTTTCCCGTTGTGTGAGTAACAATTTTTCATGACGGATTCTGAGGTGAAATCGCTTTGTGCCCTGATGCCGCCACAGTATCAGGCAGAACTGGATGTGGACATCGCATCTCGTTTGGAAACAGATGATACTCTGTAAAGACAAGTGGAAAAGGGATCATAAAGCATCACAAAAAAATCATCAAAAGGGTCAGATAAAACTGAATTGAAGCTTCGATTAAAGAGAATAAACACGAACAAGTACTTGCACACATATTCAAGAAACACATGTATTGTGAACCCCGTTTTTGTGGATTTGGATGGGAGTTTGGAGGCCATTCTGGTCTCTGCTACTTTATCAGAGGAGGTCCAGCAGCTGAAGGCTGGAGATTCAGTTCCGATCTTTGTTGATGGAGTTCATTACTCTATTTTGTATTCATCATTCCGTTTTTTTTGAACTTGCTGTGTTTTTCATCGGTCGTGTTTGAAGAGGTTTGGTTCTGCTTCACACTGATAATTGTGCTGGTTTTTGTTTCAGAGTGCTCTTGTTTCAAGCTTCCGGAATAGCGGCTTCTTTCCGTTTGCTTTCTTGTATCCTTGATACAGTCCTCTCAGCTCTATTCTTAGCAGTGCTTTGTTCTTCTTCGATGCCATCACGCAAGATTCTAGCACCAATGAGGTTCTACAGATATTCTTTTACACGATGAAACGCAGTTCTTTTCCCACACTGGATCTTTGGCAAGCAAAGCTCAGGGCCTGATGTTGCACAAGCCTGTCGTGCTAAAGTTGGAGGAGCCCAGAGTGACTGGGAAGCTATCGCAGCTCCTGGGCTGAAGAGTTTGGTGCCTTTTCAGACTCCACGGGTTGTGAATTTCCAAGGAAGCTTCGAGTTGCTACTAGGAACAAGTGCATCGCTACTAGTAACAAGTGCCTTACTAGTAGTAACAAGTGCCACGCTACTAGGAACAGGTGCCTTACTAGTAGTAACAAGGACGCTACTAGCTTTGTTACTAAGAAGCTTCAAAGACACACTGAAAAGCTTCTTGTTACTACAGGTGAAACGATTCCCAGTGAAACGATTCCCGGTGATT